AACATATCGTTACGACTTTTATCTTAGATGGGGTAGTCAGAGACATGATGAACTGTGCACGTTGTGGTGAACGCAACATTTAAAGCATGTATAAAAATATATATACCTATATATTTTGTCATGTTATTTACCCTTATAGTAGTTAGATCAAATTGGAATTTCCTCTATGGTATAGTACATACTATACCATAGAGGAAATTACAATTTGATCAAATTGAAGAGATGATAGAGGAAATTACAATTACAATTCGATACAAATTTATTTAAGTACAGCTAGTCAAAAATATATATGTAGCATGTGCTACATATATATTTTTGACTAGCTGTACTCGCGTTTACGTCCGCGTGGAAATAACTTTATTTTTCTAAACTAAAGGATTTTTTCTAAAATAAAAGTAGGATAAGTTACTCCTTATTATATCAGTTACCTGCCAATAAAAGTCCCATCGAAATCGGTCCTGCTATTATAGAGATTAGCCGAAACAAACAGATAGAGAAAAATTATAAAAAATGTTATTTTGGTACCATTCATATGTATGTATGGTACTAAAATAAATACGGTAATTTTAATATTACAAACAGACACTCCAATTTTATTTATATGTAGGTATAGATAATCAAGTCGATTTCAAAAAATATTTCTGATTTTCAAATAGGTGGTTCAGAAACGAACCAACAATTTGTTATTTTTTTAGTTTTTTTTAATTTAGACACTCACAATATCACTTCACAAATAAATATATGTGAAGTCGTTGAAACAGGCTAAGAAGTTCACATGTTTAATGATGCATCACATTAATTATGTACTCTTGTTTAAGAAATCGTGTAAACAATACAACGACTTAGGTTTCTCATCATCATCATCATCATCATCATCTCAGCCCGGAAGACGTCCACTGCTGGACATTTCTCCACGACGATCGGTCCTGCGCTGCTCGCATCCAATGCCTTCCAGCGATCTTGACCAGATCGTCGGTCCACATATTTTATACATATTTTATACTAGCTGATCCGCGCAACTTCGTCTGCGTTTTATTTCCCCAGCTTTTGCAATATTTTTAATTCCAGCTCCGCTCTTATTAGTCGTAGCGTAATGTTATATAGCGTAAAGCCTTCCTCGACAAATGGACTATCCAACACAAAAAAAAATTTCAATTCGGACCGGTAGTTCCTGAGATTAGCGGGTTCAAACTAACAAAACCTTCTGCTTTATAAATTTATTAATCTATACTTTTTTTTTATACTATACATATAAACCTCTTGAATGACTCTATCTATTAAAAAAAATCGCTTCAAAATCCGTTGCGTAGTTTTAAAGATTTAAGCATACATAGGGACAGACAACGACAGCGACTTTGTTTTATACTATGTAATAATGATGATGTGAAAGTAGAGATGTTTGTCACTCTTTCACGCAAAAACTACTGAACGGATTTTGATGAAACTTCACAGCAATATAGCTTATGCGTCAGAATAGGGACAGACAGCGATAGCGACCAAACTCTTCAACAAACTAACAAATTCTTCAGCTTTATAATATTATTGTATTATATATTTTTATATGTTAGTATAAATTAATAATTTTAATTCGAAGAGAAACTACCGTCGCTGGTAGTAAAAAACATATATTTCAAAAGTAACAATAAAAGTAGAAGAAGATATGAAATATTTAAATAAAAAATTACATAAAAAAATATATAATTATAACATAATAAAGGTGCGTCACGCACAGAGCAGCTAAACATTGAACATCGCTTGCGTCAATTCCCGTAACGTCGTATTGTAACTATGCCGTGAGTAGACAATGGAAACGTGCCCAATTCTTACGACAATGACTCGATTCTGCGCTTGCGTCTAGCATTATATGACACGTGTCACACTTGTGGACTAGTTTCTTGTTGCCGTCTCGCTCACACACGGAACTGAGACGGAGCGTTCCTTTAGAAACTAATTACAACCGTCCACAGTTTAGTTGCACTCGCTGACGATCAATGGGGTCAAGCAACTTTATTATTTAGATGGGTGACCGATTTGCAAATGATATTTGGATCGTTGGACTGGTGGACTGATGATAGGTTACCCTGTTTATTAGGTAACTTACAGGGTGCTCATTATTCTTTATATTAGACTAGCTGTACACCCGACTTCGTACACGTGGAATTTAACTTTATATTTCTAAAATAAAAGAATTTATCTAAAATAAAAGTACATACAGTTTCATCAGCTACCTGCCAAAAAAAGTCCCGTCAAAATCGGTCCAGCCATTTCAGAGATTAGCCGAAACAAATAGACAGAAAGACAAAAATTGTAAAAAATGTTATTTTAGTGTATGTAATATATAACGATCATATTCGTATTTATATTCAATGGCTCGTGAACTGTCCCGCATATGCAGTAAAAAATAGTTATTTCAATATTACAAACAGACACTCCAATTTTATTTATATGTATAGTATGGGTTAACTCACCTTCATTATGTGAAATTGTTATTAACAAGTTTCAATAGTAACGAATTGAAATCTACAATGTTCAGGTTGCGAACACTGATTAGATTTTTTTATTTTTATTATTTTTTTTATATAGCATATGCTGGTGGTCACTCTATTCTCCCAAATTTGAATTTAAATGAAATAGTATTATTCTAAATATGTACAACATTAAAAAAAAATACGAGCTGAGTTTCTTGTCAGTTCTTCTCATCTCGAAATCATTCCGAACTGACGGTAGATTTGACATATCATAAGAGTCTGTAATAGACCTACATGAATATAGATATTTTGAATTTTGAATTTGAATTTGCAGTATACAGTGTTTAACTGTTGTAATTGCCAATTGTACAACTGGGATCCCATCTGTAACTATCAAATGGTTTATAGCGACTAGAAAACCCGTTAATTTTAATTCCTTACTATTAACAATTGTATAATTTGGCGTATGGTTGACACCAGTGTCTATTTTACGTTTTATATATCAATACTAGTTGTGCCAGCGGTTTCACGCGCGGGAAATTGATAGCCTATATGTTATTCTCATGTATAAGCTATATTACTGTAAAGTTTAATCAAAATCTGTAGAGTAGTTTTTGCGTGAAAGAGTAACAAACATCCATACTCACAAACTTTCGGGTTTATAATATTAATAATAAGATTACACCAATGAAAAGTATAACAAAATTTAGCAACATAAGATGCCAGCAAGTGCTCGTAAAAAAATTGTAAATTCTGATTGTTAAAATCTATATGAGCGGGGGGAAAGGGAATTGTTAGTAATATGGCATATGAATGATATCTCATTGCTAGCAATATACCATGTCAGGTTGACCTCCACGCGGTTCCCCCTGGAAACCATCATGATAAATTCTTGGCGAATTTGTCACGATGGGCTAACTGACCTGACCTCATGCTCATGTTATCATCCTCCACTGGTGCCCCGCCAGCGTAAACCGTTAGCACATACGGGTGCACCATTCCATTATCATCCATAAAAAAAAGCTACTATGACGTAGGCATCTCCTTTATTTTTTTTTTAACGTGTGGAAAAATCTTCAACAAGACCGACGTAGGCATCCCCTAAGAAAGGATTTTGATAAATTCTACCCCTAAGAGGATAAATTAACGCGAGCGAAGCCGCGAGCAAAATCTAGTCATTATATATTTGTTAATTTTTAGTTTTCTCCCGTTCATGTCATTTCACCTACCTGTTCGATATTTCAATCTGTTTCCCTAAGGTTGCCTTGAAAAGATTGCTTTCAGCAATAAGTCCGCCTTATTGTAACGATACATGAGTCCTTTGTTATACCTATTGTTTGTGCTTCTTCTTTACTGTACGTTGCAAATAAAGTATTTTCTATCTATCTATCTATATACATAATAATAATAATAATAATAATCTCAGGACAATTCACACAGCGCCATCTAGATTATTAAAAGCTAGCTAAAGCTTGTGTATAATACAATAAATGAAAAGATACAAATACATAGATAATTTTTTTTCGTAAATACGTACATATTATACATAGAAAATACCCAGACCGATACAAACAATCATACTCATGAATACAAATGTTTGTGCCGTGCGAGGAATCGAACCTGCGACCATCGGAGGTAAAGCGGTGTGCTAGACCGCTAGACCACCGAGGTCGTCTATATATATTTTACTATATATTTTACTATATAATAATAATAATAATTATTATTATTATTATTAAAAGCAAACTGCACTCTTGTATAATACAATAAATGAAAAGATAGCTATATACCCCAAAAATTATCGTGAATGTAAAAATATACTTATAGATTGGATAAAAATATTAAATTATAATGAAACTGAATTACTTCTGCATCATTATTATCAATGCTAAAACTGGTGTGCAAGATTACACACACATATATATGTGTATATGTTCCTATAATGTATGTATTTTAAAATTGAATTATATAACTAATTATTTATAGTATAATAAACAAGAAACATTTTACAAATGTTTTGATATAAGCTATGGAAGAGTGCAGCTTCCTGGTACTGGCATCTTTATGCTTAAAAAGAGTCTGCAACAACTGTAGAATGTAATTGTAACAAAAAAAATTTTTATCTAAATAAAGAATTTTGAATTTGAATTATATGACAATATTACTTTATTTACATAACTTAATTGTACAACTAAGAACCTAAAATTAAAAAGCTTAAAAAATATAATATAATGACTAAAATATATTATTAAAAGGGGTCCCTTTAGGCAAGGTTCCGAAGATACTGGCAGCGTTCCCTCTTTGAATTGCTAGATTAATTCTTTGTCCGAGGCAGCTGCCAGCTCTTCGGTCTTCTGTGATGTCGACTAACCTTTTCGTTATTTCTTTGAAGAGTCTTATAGCGCTAGGACCACGGACCAAGGGTCTCGACACCGAATGGGACAAAATCATATTCGGACCCCTGTATTATATTAGTTATCAGTAAGAACTAGTGCATAATTGTGAATTGCGTAATATATTTAAAAGGCTACTCACTTGTTCTCCAATTTTTAGAAAATTATCTGAAAAAAAAAACATAAAATTAATTTCTTCATTTAAAATGCAAAACGATTATATATGACTACTAGATGTCCCGGCAAACGTTGTTTTTCCTTAAAATAAAATAAAAAATTAGGAGTGGACTACCCCTAACATTTAGGGGGATGAAAAATAGATGTTGGCTGATTCTCAGACCTACTCAATACGCTCACAAAATTTCATAAGAAACAGTCAAGCCGTTTCGGAGGAGTATGGGAACGAAAACTGTGACACGAGAATTTTAAATATTCTTTATTGCACTTAAATACATTTATAAGTAAATTAATTACAGCTAATGTTAACAAAAGAGGACTTATCTCTAAAAGAGATCTCTTCCAGTCAACCCAATAGAGCGTGGCATAGGAAGTGTTGAGTGGGTTAAAATGTGCAAATTATATTTTTTATGAAAATGTCAAAATAATTAAAACTAAACATAAAAATTTTTTTATATATAATACTATGATTAATGATTTAACTATTTTTTTTTCTTTCTAATTAGCACCTCCACACAATTTTGAGTGGGCTATAGACTAGCTAGGGGTCTCATTCAATTCAAAAATCATTTATTCACGTAAGACATATTAGCCGCTTATGAACGTCAAATTTTTTTAAATTATAATTTTATTTTTTTCCCTACCGTCCAGTTCAGTATATAGATCCAATTGAGAAGAACTGGCAAGAATCTCAATTGAATATTTTTATTGGTAAGGAGTAGTCACCATACCATACCAATTGCTTATTTTTTCATTTCTATTATTTACTACTTGTGCCCGCGACTTCGTCCGCGTGGAATTTTATTTTTTTTTTTTAAATAAAAATAGCCTAAGTTAATCCTTATTACATCAGCTACCTGCCAAAAAAGTAACGTCAAAATCGGTCAAGCTATTTCAGAGATAAGCCGGAACAAACAGACAGACGAAAATTGTAAAACATATTATTTTGGTATATGTATCGTATTTATATTCATATGCATGTAGTAAAAAACGGTTATTTTGAATATTACAAACAGACACTCCAATTTTATTTATATGTATAGATATTATAGTTTGTATTATTATAACTCAATATAGACTTATTTACCATTTTCTTTAACGTAGTACACTTTCTAAAAAGTCGTCTGTATCTCAATTATTTCTGCAACCAAGTACCTTGCTCTGTTCCTGTTTGAAGGCTGAGAAATGACAGTGAAATTGCAAAGTACAGAGTAAGGGTTTGTATAATAAACTTGGTGCGCAAAGGTTAGTAATGTTTTTTTTGTTATATAAAAATTTGAGCGCGTTTGACCGCTATGACACTTTCTGTCTTATTACAAAAAGATAAACCTGGTTTAGCACTAGTAATAAACCATTGACCAAAGTATTACAAAAAGAAGTTTATCTTTAAACCGTGATTGGTCTCTGGTCTAAAGTTAGACCTGCGATGCCCCTAGTTTAACAGTGGTCTAAATGCAAAAAGTCAAGGAGTAACTTAGGCTACTTTTATTTTAGAAAAAAAAGGTTCAATTCCACGCGGACGAAGTCGCAGGTATGACTTTAAAATAATATTAGGAACATTACAGAAAATATATATAAGGAATATTATATTATTTTCAGAGTGACCTACTTTCGTATTATAAAGGTCAGCCTGTAGATGCAAGGGTAAAGGGGTGACCCTAAATATATTTAAGATTTACTGATGGGTCCCATCTACCGATTTAGATGAGACGCAATAACTGGCCACAGGTCCAGTCTATAAGTGTCAAAATTGCAAAACATACCGATAGACCAGAAAAGTAAATAGAAATACAAATAATCTTTATTCAAATAAACTCATTACAAGCACTTTTGAATAGTCATATTTTGATTCTACCACTCATTCGGAAAGCAGATTCATCACAAGACGAATGAGCAAGAAACTTGTGTGTTGCTCTTTTTAATAGATGTTTTTTTTATATAAATTATTACAGTATAACAAGTAAGAGGCATGCGACAATCAACATAAAAATCGCTACGCACTCATTATTAGTGTAATCAGATAATATTGTCAGTGCTATGTATTTAAAATTTTTCTACAAAAACATTATTATCGTTAACGAATTCTTCAATTTTATAGTAAGCTTTTTTTTATTTGACATTTAAATCTTTTTTCTGGCAGATTTATAACAGACTCTGTTTTATTTAAAACCTTACGCAATTGCATTACTAAATTTAGGTAAAATCTTTTTATTGTTACCTTTTATTAGTGCCTTCTTTTGAAACTGTCTATATTCTTCCTGGCATAAATGATATTTTCATAAATATATTGAGAAGCAAATATATACTACACTAGCTATTCGCCCCGCCTACGCACGGGTGAACATGTATTATATATATAAACCTTCCTCTAGAATCACTCTATATATTAAAACAAACCGCTTCAAGATCCGTTGCGTAGTTTTAAAGATTTAAACATACATAGGGACGGACAGACAGCGACTTTGTTTTATACTATGTAATGATTATGTAGAAAAATATATATGTCATTGTCAACTGTTATATCTTTGCACATCTATACATATAAATAAAATTGGAGTGTCTGTTTGTAATATTGAAATAACCATTTTTTACTACATGCATAAGATTATAAATATAGTACATAGACCAAAATAACATTCTTTTACAATTTTTGTGTGTCTGTCTGTCTGTTTGTTCCGGCTAATTTCTGAAATAGCTTTGCCGGGACTTTTATTGGCAGATAGCTGATGTAATAAGGAGTAGCTGAATGATAATGGAATGATGCACTCGCCTGCGCTAACGGTTTACGCTGGCGGGGCACCAGTGGAAGATGATAAGATGAGCATGAGGTCAGGTCAGTTAGCACATCATTGTAATTTCACCAGAAAATTATTACGATGGTTTCAATCGCATTGGATACTACGACCGTTAAGGTCTAAGGTGGGATAGTAACCACAAGGTCAAAAGGGCCTCGATTTATATACGTGATTACCCAGGGTATTTTTTTAAGAAGGAATAACCTCTTTTCTTGATGGTTTCAATATCGTATGGAAATACCATAGCTGGAAGGTGATTCTACAATGTGGTTGTGCGTGGCAAAAACAGTCCATCAGGTGGGCAGATTTAGGTCAGCATTTATTACGCTGCTGTAAAAAAAAAAGATTTTTCCAAATAGGTACCTAAATATAGTCCATGTGTCAAATTACATGATATCATTGTAAGCAAACAGTTAGTGTAGACGTAAAAAAACGCGATACGGGTAAAGTTATTAGACAAAATTGTGGACATGTTTTTTTAACAACAAATTATATTTGACTAATCCGTATTAATGCTATGAATGTGTGTCTCTCTGTTGGGTACTGGCTATTTTCAATAGATAACAATCTTCCTTATCGGCCGGTGAAATTGTCAGAAAAAATATTTGTAAACGATACTAACTCAAATAAAAAAGTGTTAAATATTGTTAGTTCGTTCGCACCAAAATACTGAATCGATTTGGATTAATACTGGATCTGTTTACTGTGGGATAGACTGAATTGATGGTTAAGGGACATGCTTGTGACGGAAAATGGTGGTAAACCATAAGACTAAAATTGTTGAAGCTAAAGTTATCGCTCTCATCAGGAGTTTGTACTGTTACCTTCGGATTTTTTTAAATCTACGATGCTAGCAACTAAGCATCCATCCTTTCTGATGGTAAACGGTTACCGTTCATAGATGTTAGAATTCACATCATTATTGTAGAAAAAATCCGATATTTTAAAAATATATTAAAGGAAGGTAGTTTGTTTTTAGTACTAATGAAGTACCCAATGTAAGGATTATTACGAATATTGTAAATAGCGCCATCTAGTATTTATAGACCAACCTACTACACTGACTTTGGTCTATAAATACGGAGGTCGGTAGTTGAATAATCCTCTTTCGTTGCGTGAGCCGCGGCATTCAGTCGACGAGCGCAGAGCGTGCCAGTTGTTTTGGATATTAAAGTGAATTGTATTAGCAATGGGTTTATCCCGGTCTTAGTTGGGCCTGGGGGGAAGCTGCAAGTTGTGAAGGTGAGTGTTAATGCATTCTAAAAGAGCCTTTTAAACCTACACCCGTGTCACAAGTCACGGGCGCTACTTGGGGTTTCCCTTGCGGTAGCCGACTGCAAAGCCTCAGTCGTCCATCATAATTAGTGCTTCTTACATAGAGCATACCTGATGTTTTGTCATTGTATGATGAATAATCATCACAACCATAAAGGGTCTATATGGGTCACATAATTCTAGTCACTAGAAATTACCATCTTCAGAAACCTTAGTAATACCTGGTGAATTGGTCATAATTGGCTAACTGATCTGAATGAATTCATGTTCATCCTAGCATATTCCATTGGTGTCCCGTCAGCTCATACCGTTAACACAATTCGGGGACATACATGGTACTCATCAAGGGAGTCATATTATAAGAGAATGCCCTTCATGATGGCCACGTCTTTAGCTAACGGTAGCCATTTTTCCTCAGGTGGCTCATTAGATTTACCACTGCAATTACATAAAAAATTACAAGTCATGGAAAGAGACCAATATCTAGATGATAAAATAGGTCTCCATTCAAGAGGCATAATCTCCAGTTGAGGACATTAATATACTGAGGGAATAAGGGATAGAGTGTGAGAATGCATGATGATGCTGAAGGGAGTTGGGATTTAGCGGAATTGGGAATCCTTCATTATAAGTGGGAATTCAATCTCATTCCTCAAAATCTCATTGTCCTCTTCAAGTAGAGTGCAACTCTGCAAAATGAGAGAAGTTTTCTTATGAGAGAAGTAAAAGTCATGGATCATAAGAGACTTGAGTTCCAGGTGAGGTGTTGGCGTAAAATAAAGATCACAGTCCAATATGCCTGCATCAAAATCAATGACCTTCTTTACCAAGGAAGTCTCCTAGAATTCCTGGTGTCACTCTGGGTACAATACTCCAAAAACAGTGAAAACCCTTGAAGACATTAGAACACCCATGAAAACA